AAAAAGTCGATGGTTCAGTGGTAGAATACTCGCCTGCCACGCGGGTGGGCCGGTTTCCATTCCCGGCGAATGCCGTGCATTATACCGTCAGTCCTCTCCCTTTCCCCCCTTTTCCCTTGCTATTTTTTGCTGCACTCAAATTTCATTTCATTACATTTTTCCTTTTTTTTTTCGTTATGTTTCGTTTGCTATTGCTTTGGTTTCCCCTGCGTTGCTTTGCTATGCTTTTTTGTGCTTTGCTTTGCTTTGCTTTGTGTAGTTCGGGTCGTTTTGGGTCGTTTAGTTGCGTTCAATTTCATTACCTCACGTCACACAAATGCTACATGAGCGGGAACTAAGAAACAATAGATAAGCTTTGAATTCAAGACACATAAAATTCAAAAGATGTTTTACAATCTATTAAATAAACAACATGCAAAACGAAGGCAATAGCTACCTACCAGTTTACTACACAAAGGTAAAATGAGGCGAATATTACCGCGCGAGCACTCTTAAATTAACTACAATCCAAATGTTTGCCACACTCTAGGGTAGGTCATTTCGCTCCTTAATAGACAGACTTAAAAAAAACTTGGAATACTTTTTGGTGCGACAAAAGGGTAACCTCATTTTGTGCTGGTGATCGCGCCTAAGAAACATTTGGCGAGGGGGAAGTAAAAGCTGACCTCTAGCTTGCGGAATTATGGCAGTATACGAAGGGTCAACCTTGATACTTCGCGTCTGTGGCCTAGAGATGCGAGGCCAGCTTAGGGTTTAGTGCTGCCGCACAAGACGTAAAAAAAGATATCTCTAAAATGAGAAAGAATGGCTTTGTCTTGGGGAGACTATAATTTTTTAATCAAGTAAGTTTTCCAAAGACTCCAAACTACGCAAACTTGCTCTACCGCCGAACAAATGAAGGGATTCTCAGCTAAAAAACAAACCTCAAAAGGCGCCGACTACAAATTTATACTAAAGTACTCAAAGCTTTAAATTGGTTTGCTAACGAAGTAATCAATATGCAGTTTGCAATCCAGATTTTTTATAGTATGCCACCGGGATATTTATAATAGCTAACTTTTTCGAGGTGGAAGCCGTTTATTTTAGGGTTTACCATCATGTTCAGTATGCTGCAGCAGCAGAAACGAAACTTTAGCACTGGTTTCTTTTCTTTAAGGACCGACAAGTAAAAATACTTAAAAAATACCATTTGTCCAAAAGAAGAGGCAACAAATATATTTAAAGCCAAACAAATTATTCACAAATTTCACCTAGCGGAAGCCTCTGAAGCTTTCGTTGGAGTGTTTTGATGTCATTAGATTGAACGTACGGGCTATGCCCTTATTATCAGGCGGTAGCCTGCGCCACCAGGCCTAGAAAAGTCTGTATCCCTTCCCTTTTAATTTGGCTCAAATTCCGTCGCTCGTAATATAAGCTCACCCGCCAATTAGTTCACCATAAACCTCTCTGCACACGAGTACGATACTCGTTAAGAGAGCAACACTGGTCGTCACGTTACCGCAGTTTAGCAAAATGAAGCAAAATGTGAAGAGGTTTAAAAGGTGTAAAGGTTTCTAGGCTACGTAAGGCTAGCTACCACTCGACGCCAAATGTTTAGCCACTACCATCTATCCATCCGTTTATAGAATGGCATGTTGGCGCAAGGAGATAATCTGATGAATACTGATTGATCGAGGCCTTTAGTTGCCTTATGAAATAAATGTCGAAGAGCCGGGGCTTTCTGCGCAGCACAGTACCAGTCTTGGCCTTTGCACCTGCTTTCCCCCTCGCCACGCGACAACCCAGCGTATTCGCGCTTCCGACCAGTCTCCGCAGGGGGTGGCCCCTTATTAAATCGAAAACGCTTCTCACAGTTTGAAATAGATCCTCTCTTCAATCCAGAGTCTCCAGAGAACACATTGGCAACATCTATTAGATGTTGCCAATATAACTAGACTGAAGATTTTGCAGAATTTACCAGATAAAATATACGCGATATATATGAGGAACGGTCATTTATGCCGCTGTCAGAATCATATCAAACCCACCATGAAAGAATGATGCGCGAAAATTATTAACATTACACAAGCTGATTGAAGGTGTGCTAAAGGTAAGCCATGGATTGCGCCAGGAACTCAACGTATAAGAGGAAATGAAGTTTGGGGTTTACATACAAAACCAGCAGAGGATATCAAGTTTACGCAAAGAGGGCGGCAACAGCTACGAAATCGTAAGTGTATTATACCCACTTGGACGGCCGAGCACGCTGGTAACTAAACTTCGAAATGAAAGACGGACAAGGAAGACAATGCAGACGACACAGGCTTGCAGTTGGCAACAACTTTAGGACCGCCTGTGGATCGTTTGACGTGCAACCGAAGTGTCACTCGTACGGCATCATCTCCAACTAATGATTAACCCTAACTAATGGCTAACCTCTAACTCGGCAAACGCTGTAAACGAAGCAGCAACTGGCCCAGTGGCTTGCATAAAGGCGGTTGCAAAGCAAAACGTGATAGAGTAAAGCGGTTAACCGACATAGATTAATAAGACATGTGCGAATGGTCCGTTATTTGGAATAGCGCGGTGTCAGAATTTTATACTTGCACTATAAGGATATGAATGACTCAGCACTATTCAATTAGAAAAACTACTCGCGGGCCTTCGATTATTGGTGGCATTCTAGTTTCTTGATTCGCTCCAGCGTTTAAGCGATACTGTTTGAAAGCTGTCTGTTCGCGACTGCGACGTAGCCACTTGCTCACTTCTACGCTTAAATTAACGACATGAATATTCGACTTGAGGCTTGTCAGTTTTCGTACAAGCAATACCGAGAATGCGACTCAATCGCATTGAGCAGGGGGAAATGGGGGAAGTTGAAAGCGGAATAGAAAAATGAGAAAGAAAGCAAGATCGTAAAAAGGCAAGAGTTACTTCCATGGTTTAACTTGACCGTGGTTTCAAGGCCATCATACATAATTTTATCTCAAGTCAGAGCGTAAACGATGCTACGACACGGTGTGGAAGGACATGGAAGGAGACCTTCAAGGAGCGTCGAAAACGCAACATTATCTTTTTGCAGGCTTCATTGAGAGTTTTGGTATTGCGTATAAGAGCAAACGCAAGCCCCCTACGTTAGCGTTAACGTTGCGTCCTCCACACTGTGCATGAGTCATACGTACGCACTGCAGCGAGCTATGCGTACGTACGCTCGCTATCGATTTTTGCGAGCGTACGTAGCGGTCCCCTGCGTGCCATTCCCGTTGCTCTCGTCGCGCACGGGAAAGCGCGAGACTACTCCAGTTCGGAAAATGGAGGCGGTGAGGCAAACCAGTGCAACTGCTACGCGCGTTGTACGGGTACGCTTCACCATTGAATATGACCTCAACCTTGTGGAAGAAAGAGAAAGAAGGGAAAAAGGGCGAGGCCCGTGGCGGGTGAGGACACGCGGAGTTCGAAGCTGGAGATAGACGAAAGAGCCGGTGCCGAGCAAGGCCTCCAACTGAAGACCCGGACCACCAGACAGCCTTGGCCCTCCTCTTCATCGCACTCTGAACTGAATTGCAGATAAAACCTTTTCCCGATGGTAGCGCTTCCCCGTGTGACTTCCTCGGAGCGAGTGGAACTCGGCCTGATCGGGAGGTATTGACAGGCGACCCGCAACCTCCTCAAAGAAATCAACGCGACGAACCCTTTCGAGCGCCCACAAAGATGGGTGTCGATAGCCAAGAACGTTGGCGACGCCGTCGAACCCAAAATTGCGTTAACCGTGCGGTCGGTACGCGAGCGGTGAGACCTATTGCTTGCATACTTCCAAACAAATGACGAGGCCAACGTAATACCCGTGCCAGACGGGCAACTCGAATGCCATTTACAACGAATGTCATTTGAGCGGACGGCCGATCAGCGCGCGACACTCCGGCGTTGCGCATTCCACGCGCGACAGATTGCGAGCTGATTTGCCGATCACACAGATGCCCTTCGTTGTAAATAGCATTCAAGTTGCCCGTGTGGCACGGGTAAAGATGCTTTACAGCAGCTGTGCATGGGCGCCGCCATAACCGACGTTCAGTTTTTGTTTCCTCTTATTTTTTTCACTTGCCTCCATCCCTACGACAGCAGGGCAGGTTAGTGCCATTTCAGATTCGACTCTGGCCATCTCCCCAGCGTTTGCCTTTGTGGAGGCTCGCCAAAGCCCTCTTCAGTGGCTTGGTATTTTGGTAAGACAGGAGAAGGTCGGCGATGGCGGCTGTAATCTGGCGCGCGTATAAAGCGTCGTAGGGATCCCACAACACACTGGAGCGAACCATAAATCAAAATGCTGCCCCCCCCCCCCCCCTAAAAAAAGAAAAAGACAAAACACGTTCACAAGAGGCAACTGGAAAGAGATTCATGCACTTCATAGCAAAGTGCGGAAATTCGCGGTGTTAAATTGGCTTGACCGAATACCCACCTTGGATTGTTTGAAGCAGTTCGCAGGCGCACGTCTAGATGGCGCTGCAAGTCTTTACGTACCGTTGCGTACACGTGTGCCTTCCGCTATAGTAAAAGTGCGCGTTCCACGCGCTCCGTCCGTAACGTTACGTCGACAGCTTGTGTGCGTTGTACGCAGTGCTGACGCGAGGGTTTTTATGCTATTCTAAAACTCTCTATTATCGTCGACTAAACCGATCAACCGCAGTCAGTGCCTCGTGACACGCGGTTTTAGTACGCGTGCCCGTGCTTCTGCGCGTCGAGCATTCGACTGCGCTCTGACTTACGATGAAACGAAGTTCGGACTACTTCAATAACCACCTGATGCGCTTGGCGAAGTTGGTGTACTGAAATGTGGAGGACGTTCCGAGCATGTGCAATAACTCTCTTCTGCGAAATGTCAAACTCCGCGCATGCGTTCACTGCCGAGTGATTCTGAACCTTTCGCCGAAACAATAGGCCTTGGAAAGTTGTGCACCGCCAAGCTCGGAACCCGCTTGACGTTTCCCTCGTCGTGCTCACAGCGAGGTCGGCGTTCTTCCGCGCAGGCTCAGTGGCAAGACCACGGCGGTCGCTGCGGCGAGTGCGGCGACAACTTCGGCGATCCCCGTCCACGGCGGCACGAGACGGGGAACATGTTCGCCCGCAACCTGACCGTGCGCCACTACTCGCCCGGAGACGTGGTTGACCTGGTGGTCGACATCGAGACCAACCACCTGGGTTACTTCGAGTTCGCGCTCTGCCCGAGGAAATCGTGGAACGAGCTGGAGACCGAGAGCTGCTTCGAACCCCACCTGCTGGAAGTAGTCGGCGCCACGGGAGCCATCTATAAGGTAATGGCATTGCGGAGGATGGATGGATAGATGAATGGAACACTCTTAGTCGGGTGGCGGCTTGCGCCACCTAGCCGAATAGTAGACTTCTAAATTTGAAATTGTTACGGCCTGGTAAAGGATCCCACATCGGTACTATGCACCACATTCATCTCACCTTCTCCAAAACCGAAAGTTGAAATTTGCGTAACGGTGGGGCCTCTTCGCACAGGAGCATGTACCGCCGCGCCCTTAGCGGCTAAGTTGTGAACAAGACCCCCGGGGGCAACAACTCAAAATATTTGTTCGTGCGTCTGTCGGAGCCCTCAGCTGACGTAGCCGAAGGCCGCGCCAGGGATCGTGTTTCATTCGGAATGCGCCAACTGAACACGATTGCCAACCGAATACTGACGCGGCACGGCCTGAGGCCCGGTTCGCTTGGGTGATGCTTAAGCTCCTGATGCCGGTCGTGTTTTAGGAATGAGACTTGCCTGATACTCGCTGATTATCCCGCCAAATATTTGTGACATTAGACCAAAAATAGCCAAATATCGGGCTATAAAAATAAACGAAAGCAGCAAAACTTTACTCGATGTATTTGAAGCCACCCTTTGGAAAAATAATGATAAGATACCTGTAGTAAAGAAGTAAGCTGAGAGAGCTGGTAAACGTTGAACATGGTTAAAAATCGCGCACAAAAAGAGAAGGACAAACGAGGAAGGAACACAGATAGGCGCGTACAGTGAAGAAAGAAGAGCTGAAGTACAATTCATGACAGGGGACTATGGCACCAAGGAGTATACAGTTCAGCCACAGTTAAAAGGCCTCCGACACGCCAAAAAAAAATTTTTTTTTATGCTATGCGTTGAATCGGCATATCAGGACATTACAAAAAAATTGTTTCACTATAGAGTAGCGTAGTGTTTTTGTAAAAAATAGAAATACGAGGCCCAATTCAAAGTTCCCGCCGTGCACTGTGACGTAACAGTGTACCGCAAGGTGTCGGGGCGGTCAGAAGGGAGGCATCGACCTACGTCACTAAAAATGGGTTCACCGGAAGTCACGTGAGTTTCACTCCTCGTGCTCTTCCACGACCGTGCCTAAGATTTTTTTCCCTTACTCTTTGTACGAGCAATCGTAGAAAACGAAGTTTCAGTTTCACAAGCTCTTTATCGCTGCACAGTTGGTTAGTTTGCGTGCTGTAAAAGTTGAGTACGAAGAGTCAGTGGATCGACGTGATGGAGTTCAATGATGAAAGCGTTGCGAGTACAAGCCAGTGTACGAGTGCATGCCGTCAGTCCGATGATACAGGGCTATACTGGCCGCTAAACATGCTATCAAGTTTTGAAAAAATAATTTTTTAGAACGCTTGCAGAAATTAGGATTGCTAGCATACGACATGCCCGATCACATTGCTAAAGGTTAAGACACCGAGGTCGTTGAATCATCAAATACTTTCCAGGCTAAAGATTCCTGCCGTCTAAAGAATACAAACTGGTTTGTGTACCAAGTTCAAGTAAAGGCCGGTTCACACATGCAGCGAAGCGCTAATGTAGCGCTTCTCACGTGTCGTCCGCTACTTATTGTCTGCCATGAACAACAGTATTGACGGTGTGATACAAAGCTGGTGAACGCTCCCGTGAGCACGCGCTTAGCGCGAGGTCAGCGCTACGCTTGTAGCGCTCCGCTACATGTGTGAACAGGCCTTAAACGTCGAGCACAAAGTACGTATTTTGTCTAGAACATGAATAGAACTTTTTTACTAGGTGCACATGCGGCCGATGTATGTCTCTCGGAAATGCATGCCGTGTGATCTCTTCTTCAGTTGCTGAAATACAGGGACAGTCCCTCACACAGCACCATCTATACTGCGTTTCACCTTATGTTGTACCGCAGCGAAGGCTAGAAGCGCGAGGTAATAGCGTTGGCAGCTGCTCTTGTTGCACGAGAGCTCGTGCCACCGAGATGTGCCCAAGAGCAAGGAGCGTTTGTAGCCTTCGCTGCGGTACAACACAAGGTGAAACAGTGTATAGACCTTTCCAGAAAAGGGCTGCTGGCCGGTTTCATTTTCAGTGTTCGTGCGTATCGCGCGTGATTTGCTCGCTTTCCGAAGCGACGTACACGGGCGTGCTGAGCTGTGGAGATCGCACGCTGAGCTGTGGATTTGTAAACATTGGAAGCGGGGATCGGTGGCCGAGTGGTCTAGCGCACACCAGCTCGGAGCACGTGGAGCGAAAGCTCGCGCTGCAGAACCCAGGGATCCTGGGTTCGAGCCCCACCCCTGCCCGTTTCGATCTGGATGAGCATCGTATCGGCGTGCGGTCGTGTATCACTACTGCGTGATGCACGTTAAAGACCCCAGGCTAGCGGCTGTACCGCACTGGCTAAATTTCTCATCTACAGCTGGGAGACTCGTCGCCCCTGTGAGGCAGACCAAGTTCTAGGCTGTATTAACACACACACAACCCAATTTTTTTAAAACATTGGAAAGGTCTATAGGCATTGTAGTTGATCACGTCAGTTCACTGACTCCGCTTATTCTACCTTTACAGTAACATTAAGCGATGAAAAGCAAATAAAAGAAACCTTGTCTGCTTGGATCGCTCGTGGAGGTGCGGAGAATAACAAAAATATTTTAAAAAAAATATTACACGCGCTCGCGGTAAGCACGAGGAGGGATACAACTCACGTGACTTCCGGCGATGCCTCCCTCCAGAGCCGTGTATTGGGAGAGTTGGGCCAATAGGCGGAGCAAAGGCCGCCGCCAGCGCCAAATATTCCCCCCGCGCTTAGAGCGTAAACTAAATTTGTGACACAGCGTCGACCAATCAGGAGACCGCGACGTCACAATATTGCAAACGACATTTAAAGCGTGAAATAGAAGCGTTCAATCTCGGCCTCTCTGCTCCATCCCACAAACGTCCGCTATAAAGACGAAGGCACAGGCGCGTGAGCCTAGCTCAGCAAAACGCTTTTGTTTGTACGAGAACTCCTGCATAGGAGGCACTTTCCAAAGCCACGCGCTCGTGACCTTGTGTTTGTCTGCACTGCTGATGTTTGTGCAGATGAAGTATAGGTGACAGTTCGCTCTGGGCCGGCTTGCTATACTGTGTTTCACCTTATGATGTACCGCAGGAAAGGCTACAAGCTTGAGCTCTTTGCTCTGGGGCACATCTCGACGGCACAAGCTCTCGTGACTTAAGAGCAGCTGCCAACCCTATGAGCTCGCGCTTGTAGCCTTCGCTGTGGTACAACATAAGGTGAAACGGAGTATAGAATAGCGTCTAAGCTGAAACTAGCTGAAAAAAAAAACAGTGATGGGGAGCGCGAGCGTCTTGAGACGCGGAGTCCCGCTCGGCTCGTGCGCTGGCTTTCGCAGTGCTTTCTTTCCCCGTCTCGGATGAGACGCTGTTTCTAGCAAGTCGGCCCTGGTTTGGAGCACACGTTCGTTTATTCTACACTTCAATATTGGCGTGACTAAAACCTCACATGCACAAAGTTTTCAGTCACAGAGAGCTAAACCTTTTCACCTTAGCAACGCTAAAAGGGCTCAAATTAGTCGTGTCACATACTTAGAGCACAGGACCACCACAAGGGGCTGTTTCGCGGCCTGTGGTTGGTCCCGAGATGCTCGCCTACCCAAACCAATGTATGGCCAAACTCTCTCTATAAGCGGCTCTGCCTCCCTCCTGACCACCGGACCACCCCGAAACCTCGCGGTACAAAAAATTGGGTTGTGTGTGTGTTTATACAGCCTAGAACTTGGTCTGCCTCACAGGGGCGACGAGTCTCCCAGCTGTAGATGAGAAATTTAGCCAGTGCGGTACAAACCGCTAGCCTGGGGTCTTTAACGTGCGTCACGCAGTAGTGATACACGACCGCACGCCGGTACGTTGCTCATCCAGATCGAAACGGGCAGGGGTGGGGCTCGAACCCAGGATCCCTGGGTTCTGCAGCGCGAGCTTTCGCTCCACGTGCTCCGAGCTGGTGTGCGCTAGACCACTCGGCCACCGATCCCCCCGCTCGCGGTACACTGTTACGTGACAGTGCACGGCGGGAACTTTGAATTGGGCCTCGTATTTCTATTTTTTATAAAAAAAAAACCTACGCAACTCTATAGTGGAACAATTTGTTTTTAATGTCCTGACATGTCATTTCAACGCCTAGCAAGAAAAAAAATATTTTTGGCGTGTCAGAGGCCCTTTAAATGTTCGCAAAAAGCAACTTCTTTTTCGTTTAAATCTACCGACAGCTGACTAACGCAGCGATCGTCCTGGCTCAAGATGGTGAACGCCTCGGGCACCTCGCGCGTTTCTTTTTTTATTTTTTTGTTTAAACCGGCCAATGATTGGTGTATTTTCCAAAGATGGTGTGCATGTACAGGCCTTACAATGCTCCGAAAGGTGACCTCCTACAGTGGACGTTAAAGAACGTCTGTGCTCTCGTAGCTGGTCATTCAGACACCGTCCAGTCTGTCCGACATGGCATCCTCCACGGGAAAGAGGAATGCTCTATTGGCGACGTGAGCGATCGAAAGTGTCGCTGTGGTCGGCCCACACTATAGGGAGTATTCACTGGCGGCCATATCTGTGCGTGATTGCTGAGCGCGTGCTGAAGGCGAGCTTCCACAGTTCTTTTGCCACGTGCATCCCGCACCATCAAGATTGCCGGTCTTAGCATGGTGAGCCCGTTCTGAGCATGCGCTCTAAACATCAACCTCAAATATGGCGTCCAGTGGATGGCCGAATGCTGACTATGACGAGAGCAAAAGATGTCTCATCGCCGGATATAAGAGGAATGTAAGAACTTCAATTTTGACAGTGTTGGCAGTGTTTCTTTGAAAGCGCCATGATTTCAGGCTACCACCATGCCCATTACAAACACCATCGAATTTATTGTTCACAAGGTAATGACGTCACGAAAGGTAACCGAACGAGGGCGTCACCGGAACATTTCGCCTCTAATACAAGGCCCGATGAACAGGCAACAAAAGGCCGCACATGTTTTGTGTGCCACGTGTT